AAGCCAGCTTACTGTCATCAACCCGTGCTCTGTTCTCTGATAAAGCACGCTGTTTCAGCCAATCAGAGCGCACGTTATATGGAAACTTTATTATAAACTACACTACAATACAGTACAATACAATACAAAACAATGCAATGCAATTCAAATATTTGCAAGCCAGAGAGATGTTAAAATGATGTTTTAACCAGACACTTTAGATCTGCAAATATTTGAATTGAAGATTTTTCACTGAAAAACGTTAACTTTTGCATTTCTTTCAATAATCGACACCATAACACAGCTAATCAATAGCAAAGACCATGAGTAGAAAAATCCTTCCCAGGCGCTTTCCATTCGACCAAAAATTCCGATTTTCCTGCATTTCCAAAACACCATCTTTCACAATTTCCAGAAAAGAGCAACCTTGCGAGCTATGTACAAATTTCCAAAAATTTATTACCAGGAATTTCTGTTGCAATTGAATTTCATCCCAGAATTTTCTGAAATTTCGATTGAACGATTCGCATTTGAGAAATTTAACAATTTCCGGATTTTGCGGAAACTTTCCCAGGAAATTTCCATACCCGTTTCTCCCATTTCAAAAGGTCCGGAATTCTTGGTTGAACAGAAAGCGCCCGTGGTTCCAGCCGTGATTCTGGACACACACTGAACGTCCAAGTTCAAGACTGCGGTTTCTTTACAGGCGTAGAGAGAGAAACTGGTTTGAAAGTAACGCCGACTAATTAGTTACAGGAATGCACTAAAATGAATATACTTAAGTACTTAACTATGCTTAACATTTCGGTTTGCAGAGGAAATCCGCCTATGGCAGCTAAACAAAGCACGAAATGGCCGTTTTTATAATAGAGGACGCATTATCAGTCCAGAAGCATAATGCTTCCTGGACGTTTTTATACTAACGACGCATTATGCGCCTAGACGAACTTTGGCGAACATCTGGTTAAGCGTCTCCGGTATAACGACGGGCACAAGATGAATTATGCGCCTTGAACAGCGCACAACGAAGGATGGTTCGTCTGGACGCATATTGCGTCTTGTGCCCGTCTTTACACTAGAGACGCATAACCAGATGAACTACAAATGTTTGTCCAAGTTCGTCTAAACGGATAATGCGTCTTTAGTATAAAAACGGCCAATTATCGTTACATTTACGAGCTTTGGAGAACATGATAGGGTAGAAATTAAAAAAAACCTGCATGTCACTAATGATTTCATCCCATTTGTTGATGCCATGAGGCTTCCATGATTTTCCTTTGACTATGCGATGAGCCTTGCATGCTTTTCAGGCAGAGTCAAAGCTCGGGGTCTCCCATTTAAAAAGGACGGGGGTGCTCGTCCGAAATTTTGAAAAGGACCCGTTAGAGGTACCAATGTCCTGTTTTGTGGGCGTGTCTTGAACTTTTTTCACCCCTTAATGGTGTTAATTCAGCAACACATTAACTGACACTTTCATTATTTTTAATGGCGATCAAGACGACTGCTTGGAGTTCCTTCTACTCGTAAAGTTGATTGCCAAATATCTCTTAAAAGCAAGAGATTATGATGTGATCAGATCGTGGTCTCTTGGCTAAAAGGTACCACGAAAGCTCCCGTCGTGGACCCTCTAAGGCTGAACATCCTAAGAGCTACCAAAACCACTGTTTAACCCCTAAACGTACTACGAACACCCCCCGTCCATTTTATGTGGGAGTTTCCCCCCCCCCACCTCTCTCCCGGGTTCGAAGCACGGATTGCAATAATGGGAGAAAGGAAAGAGGCGACGCTTCTCTTTGAAGACATAACGATGTTGTTTTGAGTAGTGTCACATGTTGTCGTGACTTTGTCTTCGGTGTGGTCATGACGCGTCTAAAGCTGAGCTTTATTTCAATTAATTAAAGGGCCCTAGTCAGCCAAACCTTTGTTTTTGTTTAGACTGTCTGCGTCGCAGACAGTCTAAACCGCCGGTATAGCATATCGGGGATTTTATAACACGTCCGGCTGCAACGCAGGCTACTTACAGTAAATCGATAAGATTTCGCTTCACCCGGCCATGCAATATCAGTAATTTCGATGGCATCGAAAATGGCGGAGGCTGACTAGGGCCCTATAAAGTGTGCCGAATGTTTCCATTGAAAGATTCCTGAAGCGCCATCATCCTCATTGACATTGTTTGCGTCATGATCTCCTATTAAAGTGGACAAATGAGGCGTCACGCAACTGAAAAAGCGTCACGTGACAAGATTAATAAAATCAGTGTGTTCTTGAAGCGAAAGATTAAAAGGCTCTGGCACTTGTATTCGGTTACAATGGGATCACTAACAGTACCACGTGCACGACGAAAAAAAAAAAGAAAAAGGACGTTGACTCGAATGTTGAATCGTGACGTGACCGTGCTTAGGGTTGCCTCGTGCAACGTTACGTGACTCGTATTGAATGCTTGATTCACGGATCTCATTTTCACTTTCGAGTTGACGAAAATACCACTGTTCTAAAAACAAAGCGACAATTAAAGTTTTCAAAGGAGACTACTTAATTAGGGCTCTAAGACTTGGCCACCTGATCGACATCTTGAGTGCGTGTGAACAACATTTATCCTGCATCGCCATGGATTCCAAGGGAAGGAAAATAATTGTCTGCGACGCTGGAACAGAAGTAAGCTTTCTATACGCTTGTGGACTGTTGTTCCGTTATAAATCATTCCTTTATTTGAGCCGAACACCGTTTGGTATGATTGTTGTATTTTTAGTCCATAAAGTGTGGATTTGCCGACTCAAACATCCCAGCGCATATTATTCCTTCGATGGTTGGTAAACGCTGTATCGACGATTCAAAACGGGAAGTGAATGCAGTGAAGGTTAGTCGTGATTCTTATCCCTTACTATTCAAAATACTGCGGACAAAGCCGTGATCCAAATTAAAAGTTTTACTCGAAATAATATCAATTTTATATCACTTTTCTTCTTTCGTTTCTCAAGCAGGACATGATGGTCGGCGATGAAGCCAGAAAACATTGCCGTAAACAAAAGATGAACTATCCAGTAGATAATATTGGAATTGTTCGAAACTGGGAAGATATGAAGCATCTCTGGGACTACGCTTTCGGTGAGACGAAGCTCAACGTCGATCCTAAGACTTGCAAGGTGAGCTATAAACGTGAAATCTTAAATAAATTATATAATGCTCATGATTTGAGCAAGAATTTCGAATTCGAGTCAGAGATTTCCAAGAAACTTTGTTGATATTGTTACACCCTCGAGAACAATCTGCAATTTACTGATAACATGATACTGAACATAGGCCATAATTTCCAATCTTTCCAAGGTGTAAATATTAATATAAGAAACAGAAAACACATTTTCCCTGTTACTAGGAATGCTGTGGGAACCCGAGCCGTCCGAACCTAAAGTTTAATATCACGAGTGTTTCCGAGAATTCGACAGAAGCACGCCGTAAATGTTTTCTTTTTGTGTTTTTTTTTAGAAAAGACTGCGTGGCAAAAAAGGGAAAATCATTTGTATAATACTATCAGAATGTAAATTTTCTATCATTTCGTCTATAATCTTTTCTTTTAATGTAGATATTGCTTACCGAACCGCCGATGTACCCAATGTTGACAAGGGAAAAAACTATCGAGGTGAGTAAGTACATTCCTACCTATCGATATCTTTGTCTTACGTCGTATGGACTTGGTCATATATATAAGTGGCGCTCGCCTCCGGATCGCCGAGCGGTCCGGGCTCGAGCCATGGCCAGGGACATAGTGTTGTGTTCTTTGGCAAGACACTTAACTCTCACAGTGCCTCTCTCCACCCAGGTGTATAAATGAGTACCGTCGCGTTTAATGCTGGGGGCAACCCTGCGATGGACTAGCATTCCAAGCAGGGGAGAGTAGAAATACTCCTGGTCGCTTCATGCTACAGAAACTGGAGACAAGCGCGCGGAGGCCTGATGGGCGACTTGGCTCGTATTCAGACTTGATCTTTATCCTCAATCTTCAGCAGAAGCTTATCAAGTTAGAACGTTAACTATTGTGCTGCGTCACCCCCCCCCCCCCCCCCCCCCCCCCCCCCCCCNCCCCCCCCCCCCTCCCCCCTCCCCAACTTCCACTCCTTCCCCTTTCATTACTGGAAGTGAGATTTCATTTGTCGTTTCAATATCTATTCTTTAAATGCATACAGGAACTCGATTCATGTTGTTTCAGGTGGATAGGATTGATATCTTGCGTCACGCGATCGCGACTTTCGAGATAATTTAGTATTTTCGTTCTACGACAAACATATAGGAAACAACTTGTACTGAACGAGCCGCGATCCAAAAGAATCAAACGTAAAGTCACTACATATTGTAATTGTTTCCCTTGTTGACTATTCGACGATGCTCATGAGGTGGTCAATTTTCCCTTTGTCCTCCCCCATCTTGTGATAAAGCAAAAATTACACTCCCCACTCCCCTAAGGTTGCTCAATTTGTCACGCCGACAATCTTTCCAATGATACCTCGCTAGGTATATCCAAAGTTTCGAAAATGTCTTACCAAAATTATCCGTCCCATTCAATTCCCGGAATTTTCGGTTGAATAGTTCGTATGTCGGAAATTCGACAACTTTCGGAATTTCTGGAATGTCTCAATTTTCTCAGGTTTCTCAGGAAATTTCCGTGGTTCCGGAACAGCCCATTTTCGTATTCTCGGTATTGGACTGGAACTAGCTTGCAAGTGAGGCTAATGCGGGGAGTCTTTTCAAATGCAAATGAAATTTATCTCTTTTTAACGATATTCCCCCACATGAGCCTCCATTGCAAGCTTGTTCCAGTCCAATGCCGAGAACACGAATATAGCCCATTCTTAGCACCCAACTTGTTCCTATTTACGCGTGAATATAGCGCAGTTTTTGCTTAAAGTAACAAAACTTTTGAAATAGCGAAAAGTGCTCGTCAAAGAAAGCTTTTCCAGAGAGTAACACTGATGTATGTCGTTTCACAGAATTCCGCTGTACATAGAATTGTTAATTCAGCAAGTCACTTATTTCTCTGCGTCGTCAGTTTTTCTTTTGATTAACTTTCTGTACGTAGAATAAAAGTGAAATATACCCTAGCACTTGAAGCTTCTTGAGTAGGCTCTATCTTATAGTTAGTAGCTCTAATTTTTAATCGGTAAAATGGTCGATCTAAGAGATGGAAATATTTCTCAAAATCCACCAATGTTAAAACCTGTATAGCTTAGAAATGGCAGTTATTTGTTCTTGATAATCAAGTCAATACACCATGTCTTTTTTTAACAGATTATGTTTGAAGACTACAAGTTCGAGGGTGTTTCCATTGGAATTCAACCCATTTTAACTCTGTATGCTCGAGGTCAGTTCTCCTATATTCACAGTTTACTGACATTTGCAATTATTTATACATAACACTAAAATAACTACTAAAAATGAAATCAACTTGACCCAAAACAATAACTTAACAAACTGCGCATTATGCGTGATCATACTTAGCTCTTATTAACCGAGCAGGAGGTCTGTATGGGAGAATCTTGACTGAAGTAGTGAGTGCTGCGTGCGGTCTGTACACACGACCGAGGTCAAGATTCTCCTGTACAGACCGACTAAGCTTGGTTAATAAGATATTTATTATATGGCAAACAAGAAAAATTTAATTCGTTTAGTGCAACTGGTTTGCGCTAGCTGACATTTTGATTTCGAACGGCGAGTTTGCTCGTCGTCTTTACGTTTTTTTCTCATCAGGCTTTTTGGCACTTCCAGTAATATTTTTAGAGGAAAATAGTCAATATTTTTGTATTTTAGTTTGCAACTTTTTCACCGCAAAATGTAATCGGTCTAGATGGCGGTCTAGATGGGAAGATCTAGACCGCGGTCAATATCGATTTCAGCCAATCAAATTCGTGAATTCTGTCGTTCGCAGTCCTTGTGGACACCGCAATATAATAAGCAGAGATAATACACGAGTGCTTGAAGATAAGAAATTTCTCTTATCGTGTTACATGTAACGTTCAACGCTATGCGTGCGTTCTTTTGGGGTGATCTGGATCAGGATCAGTGATCCAAAATCACTTGGATCATGGTGCGTCAATGACGCCGATGAATCCGTGACCAGAGCGGTTTCATCGGTTCCTTTGATGTACCATGATCCGAGTGATCTTGGATCACCGATCCGGACCCGAATCACCCCACCAGAATGCACCCTATATCTCACTAGTTCACTACGCTCTCATGCAATGTGGAAGAGAAACATTTTTTTCTATCTCCAAGGAGTCATGTATCAATTTTTTTACTGCATAAATAATCCTGACTTTTGGCGAACCTTTCTGTAGGTTTTTAAAATTGTCCCAAGATTTTCCGAACAAAAAATACCGACGACCACCGAAGATTTCCTTAATTAAGAAGTCTAAAGATGATTTAACCATACAGCTCTGTCAACAACGTTCAGTTCGTTAATCACTTAAAAAGTCGCGGATAGCAATCGCAGCGTCAAGGATAATTTCACTTGTAAAATAGTATTGTTTTGGTTGTGTTTTTTTTTTTTTTCAGTTGTTTACTTGTTTACAATATTTAGAGAGGAAGCCACAGCAGCCTAAGCTGCTTTTCATGCAGGTTCTCTTTCCTGGCCGAATTGAAAAGTGGAAATGCTGGTTTTTGTGGAGGGAGGAAAACCGGAGAACCCGAAGAAAACCCTCGGGACAAGAAGAGGACAAACTCAACCCCAATATGACACTGTGCGCGATGCCGGAATCGAACCCGGGCCATACAATATTTGTTTTGCCGTATGAAGCATACTTTTTCTCATGCTTAATTGCCTAATACTCGAGTTGTGAAAATTGGCCTAAAACACTACAGTTATATGATAAGAGTTGGCAGGTAACATGTTGTTCCAACTGCCATTTACAGGATTATTGACGGGTGTGGTCATAGACTGTGGTGATGGATCGACTCATATCTCTCCCGTGTGTGAGGGATTATTGCTTCCTGATCTCACGAAAAGATTAGACATTGGAGGTCGGGATATCACCAATTACCTAAGAGAGGTGGGTCTGGGGTATGATAGATACCTTTTCTGTCCTAGGCTTTAATTTTTGCAGATACAGCAGCAATAGTTTGGGATTTGCAGCAGCTATTTTACAGTTATAGCTATAATAGTCATAAGAAGCCTCCTTAGCTTACGTCTTTTCTATGATATAGACTGCCGGTATTGCTAGCAGCTGGTCTTTTCCCGTAGGGTACGATGACCGTTTATCCGCGAACTGTCGAAAGAACGAAAAAGTCTCGTCCAAAACCCTTCTCGTTTATAAGTAGTCTCGCCTCATACTCCCTGCTTGATTCCCTGAGGAATAAGAGACTGCCAGCTGTCTACTATGGTAAGAAACCATGTACAGTATTACTTCCTCATTACACCCGCTGCTGAAGACTCTCTGGTTACCTATCTCCATAATTATGGTTCAAACACTTCGCCGCTCTACCACAACAACAGGAATGCGCTCACGCTCTCAACAAGGATGCTCCCATGCGACACTGCAGCTGAATGCCGACTGGGAGAGGCGCAGACAGTGCGCTAAGTGTCCCAGCTTCCTGTGACAGATTTACCTCTCTAAGCCATTCTAAGCAACGGGTAAAATGGCAGCGGGTGGCATTGCTACGTTTTCAAAAAGAAGCCTCGCCTCTTTTCTTTCTCCCATTATTGCAATCCGTGCTTCGAACTTTGTGGGGAATATAATTAAGATTGGGATTCTGTCACAGTTAGCTCTGGGAATAACGATAAGAGAATTAACAACCAACACCTCTTTGCCTTTTCCCAACTTTACTCGTATTGTCAAGTCAATGCGTAAATGATAGAGCAATAGCAAGCACTAACTTGAGATATCGATAACATCTATTTTGATTCTTTGGCAGCTTTTTATGTGCAGGGGATGCAAAATTGGCTTTGAAGATGCTAGAATGATAAAAGAAAAGCTTTGTTATGTAGGGTAAGTGAAAAATAGTTTGAAAATCTCTTAACCGAGATATAACCTTGTTGGTTATCCACCAGAGTTCAACTGGTTTGTCATTCTTCTCATGCCATTAAAAGTTTAGGTGATGGACTTTTAAAGAAAATGTTCTTGCATCGAGATTGAGTTAGAAACTGGAGTTTTGGTTTTTGCGAAGGGAGAAAACCCAGCGAGCCTGGAGAAAAACCCGGGGAACAAGGGCAAGAACCAATAACAAACTCAACCCATGCGTGAGGCTGGGTCCGAGATTCGAACCAAGGCCACANTGAAAATGAGTTTGATTTGCGTGAAAATGAACCTGTAGGCGGAACACATTTTCATATGAATGGTTTCGCAGCATTAACAAAGAGGCACAAGGTCACTTGGAAATGGCCCAGTTAATCCAATCAGAACAGAAAGTTGAAGTTTTGTGCAAGAAAATTAAATCTAAGTGCAGAAAGTCGAAATTAAATTGTATTGAAAAATTTACTTGTGCTTTTTTATTCCAAATTGCGCTGGAAATCATTTGATTACTTTTACTTACATTTTGATGTCTTCTGTAAACACAGCGGGATGGCATTTTTGGTATTTTCGTGAACTTCCTTTTTGTTATTAGCTTCCAGATGGACAAGTGATAAAGCTGGGTTACGAGCGATTCAGAGCACCTGAAGTCCTGTTTCAGCCCGGCCTTATTGGCACTGACAAAGCTGGCGTGGCAGAGATTCTGTTCAACACGTTGCAGGCGATAGATATCGATAAAAGAGCAGATTATTACAAGCACATTGTTCTGTGTGGAGGCGGTACAATGTTTCCCGGGTTTTCAAGCAGAATGGAAAGGGAAATCAAGCAGCTTTATTGTGAAAGGGTTTTTAACGGCGATACCTCAAAGCTATCGGTGAGAGAGACTAGGCCCGGGGGGGACTCGCACATGGAGAAGTTGGGGATGCTCGTCGTCTCGCAGAGGGGTGTAAATCAAGACGAAATGCCACTATTTTTAGCCGTCAACGCAGGGCCGTAGCTAGTCACAGGCAAACCGAGGCACTTGCCTCAGTCATGTTTTTCGTTTTTGTTGTTTATAGTCATCAAAAACACCCTAAATTCCCAGGAAGAGAATTAAACCATGGACATTACGTCAGGCACAACTCATTTCTTGGACACTGCCTCAGTCATAATTTGTTTCTGACTACGGCCCTGCAACGTATCTTTTTGCTTGCACCCGAATTAATAATAAAAAAACGCTGTCATTTTCGTTTAAAATGGCATTTTTTAAGGGTCATATAAACCTCGAGCCACCCCCAAATTGGGCTCTATTGGGGGGGGGGGGGGGTTCAATTCCAATTTTCCAACCTTTTCTTATGGGAGTCCCCCCGGAGAGACTAGGGAGGTTAACTTGGCGAGAAGACTTGGATTTGTGTCAAATGCGAGTTTAAACTCTATACAAATATGCATGAATGCTTTAAAAATCGTAAGTTAAAGATCTGGTAGGCATTTAAATGACTGTAACCATGGTAACAGTCTCAGTCTGTTGGAAGAAATCTTTGTAACTGTTTATATGATACCTACCTATGACATGATTGAAGGTTGATTTTCACTAGCGCAGGAGCAGCATATGGAGAACAGAGTAAGGGGCGCTATAAAGGACGGTGTCATACATTGGAAAATGTTTCTGCGTAATTTGGATGAGTCGCGATTTCGACAAAAGTTGAAGAAACATTTTCAACGTCTACTACGTCTGAAGAGAGTTGCTTATGCTTCAAACGCTAATGAAAACCACCCTTGAAAATAGACCAGTTTCAATATATTAAAATTCAGCCTAAAACAATAGACCTCAGCACAAGGCTCCGGGGAATAACTGCAGAGTTTGTGGGGTTTATTCCCCGGAGCGTCGTGCTGAGGTCTATTGTTGTACGCTGAATTTTAATATATCGAAATTCGTCTTTTATTGTCAATATTTCTCCTTAGAATGTTGGAATTCGAATTGTAGAGCACGAACAACCACAACATGCAGTTTTTGTTGGTGGTGCTCTGCAGGCGGGAATTATGAAAGATAAGGAAGGCTTTTGGATGACGAGACAGGAATATGAAGAGAAAGGAATTTATGTTTTAGAGAAGTTAGGAGTCAGAGTGAGAGGAAAGGTAAGAGAAAAATATCCTTTATGGACTAAGTGTTGATTAAAAAATTCATAAACCGTCCACCGCCCCATAAATGGGGTTTCTGCAAAACGAGGCTCGGATAACTGCTGATGGGGAAGGAAAACACATCTGGAGGGTACTCCCATATGAAAAGCTCGAGGACGCTCAAGCGGCCAGCTTGACCCCACGCTTGGTCACTAACCCATATTTAATCTAGCGCGAGGGCCGAGGTCTTACCTAAAAGTACCAAGAGCAGCGAGGTCCGTCTAAAAAGAAGACCAAGAGTCGATAAAAAACGACAAGACAACTACAAGAAAGAAAAAAGAACTTTTGTACGAGTGAGGTAGTCCTGTATATGGCATCCTCGTCTCGGAGAGGCGATGGTCAGCGCATCACTGTCGACATGCTCTTAAGTGACTCAAAAGCCCGATTCTTGAGTGGCAGTCTTTGTTGCAGCTGGTACAGATGTAGTTGGTGGCCTCACGAACTGATACTTGT